TGCTTTAGTTTATATAATTCTTACACTCAAATAATTGTATTTATGTACTTTCTTGACCAAATACATCTGATGCAATCCTTCGGTATAAAACTGTTTCTATGTTTCACAGTCTAATAATCTCAGCAATTATTACTGTATTGGTTGTGTGGTTATCCACTGATATTTCTACTAGTTGATCACAACAAAAAGACTGATCCTAATGACTTTTCTAATCTAGTAAAGAAATTTTGACCCTTAAAAATACTGGATATGGGGCCCAGCAGTTGGCATAATGGTTATGTTGCTGGAGTCCCATGTAGTCAACTGTGGTTCAAGTCCCGGACTTGGTGGCTTAAACTCACGTCGGGCACGTGTGCATGCGTGCATGCCCAAGATCCCAAGAGGAGAACAGAGAAGGGATTGTGGTGTGGACATCCCCTGAGGGGTGATTTCTTGCTTTCTGTCTCTCTCTTTCTCGCGAGCGCATGTGTTCTATAGCAGAAACCTCTAAAAAAAAAAAAAAAAATTGGATATGTGGGACAACCAAATATCCATATAGAAAAAAACAAAGTTGGACCCTGACCTCTCACCACATACAAAAAATTAATTCAGAATAGAACAAAGAGAGTAATGGAAGAGCCATTATTATGAAACACTTAGAAGAAAACAGAGGTGTAAATCTTCTTGTTCTTAGCAGAGTAGGCAATGATTTACTAGATATAACATTCAAAGTACAGGCAACCTCCTTCCTTGCCTACACAATAGATGAACTGAGTTCCATCAAAATTAAAAATCAATTTTGTGAATTATATACAAATGAAACAACGAATCTACTCTAAATTCAGACAAACATTCCAATGTATTAGCGCTGGTCTGTATGGTCTTGGAGAAACAGGATCCAGTATCCACTGTAATACTTTAGACAAGAGATGATGACGACAAAGGGAATATTTAAGAGGTAAGTTTATGACCATTTTAGGATAAAATGAGCCTATGTATGTCCCCAAATTTCAGTAAGACTTTCACAGTAGCAACAGGTCCCTTGCTTTCACTTATTTTAGTTCATCATCTTGTATCATTCTGGTTCTTTCACTGAACTAAATACTTAAAGGGTTCTCTTTCTTCACATTTATAGAATACCTACTTTGTACTTGGTGTTCTAATTTCATTGGCATTTTATTTTTTTAAAAAGAATTATATTTATAGGAACCAGCAGTTAGCGAAATGGCTATGTCGCTGGATTCCCACGTAGTTGACTGTGGTTCGCGTCCCGGATCCGGTGGCTTAAAACTCACGCCGGGCGCGTGTGCGTGCGTGCCCAAGATCCCGAGAGGAGAATGGAGGAGAAGGGATTGCGGCGTGACCATCCCCCCTGGGGGGTGATTTCTCGCTTTCTGTCTCTATGTCTCTCTCTGTCTGTCTGGCGAGCGCACGCACCCTATAGCAAAAACCTCTCAAAAAAAAAAAAAGAATTATATATTTATAGGGACCAGCAGTTAGCATAATGGCTATGTTGCTGAACTCCCAAGTAACCAACCACGGTTCGAGTCCCAGATCCGGTGGCTTAAACTCACACCAGGCGCATGTGCATGTGTGCCCAAGATCCCAAGAGGAGAATGGAGGAGAAGGGATTGTGGCGTGGCCATCCCACCCTGGGGGGGGATTTCTTGCTTTCTATTTCTCTCTCTCTGTCTTTCTGGCAAGCAAACATGCCCTATAGCAAAAACTTCTCCCCTCAAAAAAGAATTATATATTTATTTAATTCCATTTGTTATTATTATTATTTTTTAAAAATTTGATCAGATAGAGACAAAGAGAGAGAAAGGTAAAGCAAGAAAGCAAGCCACCAAGTCTGGGGCTCGAAATACAGCTGGCCACATGGGAATCTAGTGCCTTTAACCACCATGCCACCTGCTGGCCCCCTTCTTTGGCATTTTATGATTAAAAAAAAATACAAACCATCCCTTTGCCCATTTACCCTCTAAGTATTTTACTGAATATACAGATGAAATGTAAGTTAAATATAGTTGTCTATCACTAATAGGTATACTTTCTGAGAACTGCACTGTTAGGTGATTCTGTCATTGTGTGATCATAGAGTGTATACTTACACAAACTAACATCATATTGTGCAAAGTATCCTAAATATGCAGCAGAAAAGCATGTATGTAGCTATTAGCATGAGGAACATTGCAGTCTTTCTCAACCAAAGAGAAAATTTAAGAATAAAGGTATAGCCTACTACACATCTTTCCCTGTTCTTCCATTTTCAGAAGTTCCTGCAGCCTGCCCTGGTCTCCCCAAAGTCTCCTTTTTTTAAAAATTTTATTTATTCATTCATTTACTTTAATTTGACCAGAGGCAGAAACAAAGAGGAAGAGAAAGTGAGAAAGCAAGCCACCAGGTCCGGGACTTGAACCGTGGTCAGCCATGTGGGAGTGTCCAGAGCCTTAACCACCATGCCACCTGCTGGCCCCCAAAGTCTCCTTATTGAACTAAATATTTTCATATACTTTTTGAGTGTCAGACATCATCAGACTCAATATCTGAGCCATGTTCTGGACAGGTAGCCAGTTGTGTAAATTAACTAAAAATGTTTCAGGAAATTAATATGTGAAATTTTTATTTATATATTTTTAAAAATCCACCTTAAATGTATGTTCATTCTCAGTGGGTAACTTATGAACTAGGACATAGTCCTTTCTGATTACTTCCATGAAAGTTCCAAGCAGAACAGGAAAAATATGTTATTCTTATCTTTTAACTTCCTAACAATCTTTTTTTTGGAGAGGTTTTCACTATAGGGCGCATGCGCTTGCCAGACAGAGAGAGACATAGAGACAGAAAGCGAGAAATCACCCCCCAGGGGGGATGGTCACGCCGCAATCCCTTCTCCTCCATTCTCCTCTCGGGATCTTGGGCACGCACGCACACACGCCCAGTGTGAGTTCTATACCACCGGGTCCGGGACACGAACCACAGTCGACTACGTGGGAGTCCAGCGACATAGCCATTACGCTAACTGCTGGTTCCCACCTAACAATCTTCATATGCCTGATACATATATTTTTTTCCTCCTTTTTTTACTTCATGTAAATCAAGTCATCCAGATAAATGTAAGCCACCGGTCTTACTTAGGAGCAAACTTATGTACGGGAAGATCAGATCACATGGTACGTATTTATTGAGGAAGGCACAGTCTGAAGTTGCACTGCTATGGCATTTTAGACTAGATGTAATAGCAACATAATACCCAAAGTATTAAGTGTTAAATAATAATTCAGGTATCAATTATGAGCATATATATTCTCAAAACTGCAGATTGTTTAATGTTACCATGAAAATAAATTGTTATAGATACTATTCATTTAATAAGTTGGGGCTAGACCTAAGTTGATAAAAACAACATGATTCAATGAAGGTTTTTTAAAAATATAATTCATTTTTATTAATTAAAATGAGCTCGATTATGCATTTTAAATAAAATCGTACCAAAATGTAATTTCAGTGGTAGAAAAAAAATACCTATTAATACACTGAAAATACCACAGTGGTTCATTTGGTTAAAGTCTTTTTTTTTTTTTTTAAATTTTCTTTTTTTTGGAGAAGTTTTTGCTATAGGGTGCATGCACTCGCCAGAAAGACCAAGACAGAGAGACAGAAAGCAAGAAATCACCCCCCACGGGAGATGGCCATGCAGCAATCCCTTCTCCTCCATTCTCCTCTCAGGATCTCAGGTACATATGCACATACACCTGGTGTGAGTTTAAGCTGCCAGGTCCACGACTCAAACTACGGTTGACTACATGGAAGTCCAGTGACATAGCCACTATGCCAACTGCTGGTCCCTCTTTTGATTAAAGTCTTTTACCTAATAGCACCGTCTTCAGTTTCAAAAAATATGACATCTAAAAAAGCCACCTTTGGTATAGAACAGTTGTTTCCTTTCAAAGGAGAGAGAATGTCTGCTGTTAATTCTAGCGCATCAGCAGTCCCTAGTACCCTATCATACTCCTCTCATGACAACCTACCTCTTGATATATAGCCTGTTCTTTCTGATTCATGCAAGTTACATAAGTTCTAATAATCCAACTTGTCCATCTCTCACACCTACTATCTGGACATGTGGACCCTTAACATATCAATCATAATGACTTAGACAATAGTTTTGTATCTATTACCTGCTTTCACTATACTCATTCATATTTACACAATACTGTACCTTAAAATGTGGTATTCAATTGCAGATGAGAGGCAAACACACCAAGGGAGGGGGAGGAATTACCAATGAGGTGAGTTAATGCCACAATCCCTTCTTCATGTCTCCATCCTATTAGGATTCTGAGCACACATGTACACATGCCTGGTAGGTTTTTCAAGTTGCTTGGGCTGACATTTGAACCATGGTCAACCATATGGAATCCAGCTCCCTTAACCACTGGGCTATGGAGCTTGCCCAAATGTGGTGTTCTTGATCTTCCAAGAACACTGAGTATGAATGAACTTACCTAATTAAGTTGGCCCTTTCATCTTACTGAATTCTTCTGAGACCTTCATGGCAACATATGAAAGATTGCAATGACAGCATCACATGAACATAATGCAAACCTCAGGTTGCGAACCATGAATAGTAATGTAGCCTTTTCAACAAACATAAAACTGAATACAAATATTTAATGAAATGAAGGTTAAGAGGACTTTCCCACAGGTATCCTGGTAACTTTGATAGCCATCATAGGCCTTATCATTGTGATCTTCAATTAGTTTACAGAATTTAACTATAATGATCTTTGAGAGGAACTAGAGACTTAGTTTCCTCTAATATGAATTCTCTTATGTGCAGCCTGTTGTAAAAGCTCATTAAATGGCTCATCACAATCAGTATATTCGTAATGTTTCTTAACTATATAAATCATTTGCTGAATCATGAAGTAAAACCACTATCTAAGGCCTTGCCATATTCAATGCATTCGTAAATTTCCCTTCCTATATTCTTTCAAGATCTCAAAGTTACGAGAAGTTGAGAAAAGCTTACCATGTTAATTACATTTTCAAGGTTTCTCTCCAGCATAAACTCTCTGATGATTTCCAACATTTGTGTTTTGGGTGAAAGTACTGCCACATATATTAGCCATACAATGTTTTTTTTTCAGTATGCATTTTCTGATGTCTGGTAAGATTTGCAAATTGGCTAAAGGCTTTACCACACTCATTACATTTGTAAGGCTTCTCTCCAGTATGGATTCTTTGATGTCGAGTAAGGCTTGAACATACGTTAAAGGTTTTGCCACATTCATTACACTTGTAAGGCTTTTCTCCAGTATGAATGATCTGATGGATTACCAGGTTAGAGGACTGGTTGAAGGCTTTGCCACATTCTTTACATTTATAAGGCTTTTCTCCACTATGGATTCTCTTATGTTGGGTAAGGCTTGAACGCTCCATAAAGGCTTTGCCACACTCATTACACTTGTAGGGCTTCTCTCCTGTATGAATTCTCTGATGGATTACCAGGTTTGAATTTTGACTACAGACTTTGCCACATATATTACATTTATATGGTTTCTCTCCAGTATGAATTCTCTGGTGTCTTGTGAGGTGTGAGATACGATTGAAGGATTTGTCACATTCATTACATTTGTAAGGTCTCTGCCCAGAATGAATTCTCTGATGATTAGTGAGATTCGAGCTTCCTCTAAAGGCTTTGCCACACTCATTACACTTGTAGGGCTTCTCTCCTGTATGAATTCTCTGATGGATTACCAGGTTTGAATTTTGACTACAGACTTTGCCACATATATTACATTTATATGGTTTCTCTCCAGTATGAATTCTCTGGTGTCTTGTGAGGTGTGAGATACGATTGAAGGATTTGTCACATTCATTACATTTGTAAGGTCTCTGCCCAGAATGAATTCTCTGATGATTAGTGAGATTCGAGCTTCCTCTAAAAGTCTTCCCACATTCATTACATTTGTAAGGTTTCTCTCCTGTATGGATTCTCTTATGTTGAGTAAGGCTTGAACGCCCTGAAAAGGCTTTGCCACACTCAGTACACTTGTAAGGTTTCTCTCCAGTATGAATTTTTTGATGACTTGCAAGATTTGAATTTTGGCTACAGCCCTTGCCACAAACATTACATTTATATGGCTTTTCTCTAGTATGGATTCTCTTATGTCTACTAAGGTTTGTGAATTGGGTAAAAGCTTTGCCACATTCATTACACTTGTAAGGTTTCTGCCCAGAATGAATTATCTGATGACTAGTGAGGTTTGAGCTTTCTCGAAAAACCTTCCCACAGTCATTACATTTGTAAGGTTTTCCCCTAATGTGTGTTTTCTGATATTGTGTAAATGATGAAGGATGCATAAAAACCTTCTCATATTTATTATGAATGTTCTTGTTACTATGAGGAATTCTCTGAAGCTGTGAAGCAGAAGAATGATTGTTGATAAACTTTTCAACTTGATTACATTCATAAATTTTCTCTTCAGTTTGAAGCTTCTGAAGTTTTGCTGAATCTAACTGAAAGCTTAATCCAATTCTATTTTCAAAATATTTTATATACTTGTTTCTTGCATAGAGTATTTTACTTTTTAGTTTTAGCAAATTCCTTATGTAGGACTTCTCATGTTTGTAATACTGATAAGGACTTTTTCTTATAGAAACACTCTGCTTTAGAGAAATATTATTTCTGGATTTGTTATGTTGTTGATCTCTTCCACCAGTGAAATTTTTGTTATGAATCATAGTCAATCCTTTAAAATATTTTTCATCATATTCCCAGTGACTCTCAAACTCATACATATTTTCCTGGACTTCCCTGAAATCAAAATCCTCAATGTCATGTCTCTCCAACATCAATAATTGAAATAATTTTCCTTTGTTAACTTCCTCTTTTTGTGGTAACTCCTTGATCACACATCTAGCAGGGATATCTGGAAGATATAAAGAACCTTAGGTGTCCTTCGCAAATGAACACTGTACACTGAAAAACATAATATGATGCAAGTGTGATGCTTAAAATGAACAGCCACCAAACTTCTCAGCCATGATCTGTAAATGTTTAGAACTACAAAGAGGATTCCTTAATAAAGAAGAGTAATTACACACAACTAAAATTATTTTCAGGAAAGCCTAGTTCCAACATCTTAGGACTAAACCACTCATCAACTTACAGAGGCTCTGAAACAAGATACCAAGCACATACCAAAGGCAGTAAACATATGGGTCCTCAAATTGGAAGAGAAACAAATATATTAATGCACAATTATTATCCCCAAAAAAGGCTAAAGCAGAACGCTGTATACTATAATGATAAATAATCTGTAACAAACCTATGAGACAAATAAATGGCAATTCGTAATTGCAGAATAAAAACAGCACTGTGAAAATCTGGAAGAACTGAATATAATACTGTTGTAAGAATAACAACTGTCTTCTAAACTCCTATAAAATTACCTATACCCAGGGAAAGCAGGTGGTATGGTGATTAAGGTGCTGGACACCCACGTGGCTGACCATAGTTTGAGTCCCAGACCTGGTGGCTTGCTTTCTCACTTTCCCTGTCTCTCTTTGCATCTTTCTGGAGAATGCACATGCTCTATGGCAATTTTTTTTTTTTTTTTTTGTAGAGAAAGATAGGTAGAAAGCCTATCAAGAATATATTGGCAAGGGACCAGCAGTTAGTGTAATGGCTATGTTACTGGACTCCCATGTAGTCAACTGTGGTTTGAGTCCTGGACCCAGTGGCTTAAACTCACACCGGGTGCATGTGTGTGCGTGCCCAAGATCCCGAGAGGAGAATGGAGGAGAAGAAATTGCAGCATGGCCATCCTCCCAGGGGGTAATTTCTCGCTTTCTGTCTCTCTGTCTTTCTGGTGAGCGCACATGCCCTATAAGAAAAAACTCCTACAAAAAAAAAAAGAAAAAAAAAGAATATAATGGCAATAGAGGGTGACCAGTCAGTGGCAACTTCTAACTTGGGGGATGTGTGATTATGACATTAGCTAAAAAGATACAGCATGCTAAGTAACTAAATGATTAATTATATAATATATTTTGTAAATAGATGTTTACCCATTTTGGCCTGTTACATTTTTGTGTGGGGTCTGGGCCAGCAGGCGGCATGGTGATTAAGGTGCTAGACTCCCACACAGCTGACCATGGTTTGAGTCCTGGATCTGGTGGCTTGTTTTCTCACTTTCTCTCTTTTCTCTGTCTCTCTCTGGGGAGTACAATGTGCACTACAACAAATGAAAAAAGAATGAAATTACATCAATAATTTTACACAACTTTTTTTTGAGGTTAGGTCTCATTGTTTGCTATATAAAAATAATGCTTCTTTGATTGGTCTCTAACTATCTGAAATCATGTATTTGGATATGCTAATATAAACCCAACAGAGACTATAAGGTGAGGGATACTCTTACCACCTTAGTTGATATATAATTGTTCTTATTTTTTCAGAGAGATTTTTGCTATAGGATGTGTGTGCTCACCAGAGAGATGGAGAGACAGAAAGCAAAGAAATCACCCTCCAGGGGGATGGCTACACAGTAATCCCTTCACTTCCATTCTCCTCTCGGAATTGCGGGCACACATGCACACCTGTCTGGCATGAGCTTTAAGCCATCGGGTCCAGGACCTGAACTATGGTCAACTACGTGTGAGTCCAGTGATGTAGCCATTGCGCCATCTGCTGGTCCCGATATATAACTGTTATTATGAATCCATGGAAATTACAGCGTACTTTCTCAAAATTAATACATTCTAACTTTATAACAATTTTATCATCAGGACAATGAACACAGGCACCTAACTTAAAGACTCCCAGTGGGGAATGGCAGTGTTAGAAGATAATTGTAGAAACTATTTTTGGTAGTACCAGGGAGGAGGTCAACGTGCAGGGCAGCAACAGACCTCTCTGTTTGGAGTTTCCCAAACAATATAAAATGAAGTATCTTCTTCTTGGTCCATGTGAGCTCTTACCTGTGTCCACACCTTGGAGACACCTCCACCTACCTGATTTTTTTGTTATTTCCACCTCACCCTCCATGGTCCAAGGCTCTTTTCCTTGCTCCAAAATGGAGATAATATTCCGGTTGGAAAGAAAGATTCCTGCTTATAAGAAAAAAGGAACATGTGTTGTGGCTTTTCCAGAATATATAATCCCAGCCCTTTGTCCAGCTAAGAGGATTTTACAACCGGATCCAGAGACTTCACAAATCTGGCCACTGACAGCCTCCTTCTGAATGCTGAGGAATATTTTAAAAACATAGATATCTAGCTCGCCTTCCAAAAACACAAAGGTAAAATAATGGGATCAGAGAGTTTAAAATTTTGCAACAAGGTTTTATGATTTTGGAAGCATCATTAATCTAGTGTGAACTGCACGAATGATGCAAAGAAAGGGGAAGGTTAAAATCCAGATGCCTCATTATAAAGCTTTTGTTTTCTGAATCAACAGGGTTGTAATATCTGTCTTAATAGCAATGACCTGAAACTGAGTCAGATAAAGCAGGGGCTCCTAGAAGGTACACAGGGAAAATGTAAAGACACACGAGGGCAGATCCCGACTTCTGGGGAAAAGTCGTCCTCACCCACGGACACCAGGTTCCTGTAGTTCTCCAACATCACCTCCCTGTACAAAGCCCTCTGAGCAGGGTCCAGGCGTTTCCACTCCCCCTGAGAGAACTCTATGGCCACGTCCCTGAATGTCAACAGCACCTATAATGAAAAACACTTTCACCAACTGGACACAGGAAAAGCATTGACTCTCACACAAACTGACAGGCGAGAGGTTTAAGGACGGATGTGGTACAACTGATCAGTGTTAAGATAATTTTAAGGGGACCAGCAGTTAGCGTAATGGCTATGTCGCTGGACCCGGTGGCTTAAACTCACGCCGGGTGCGTGTGCGTGCATGCCCAAGATCCCGAGAGGAGACTGGAGGAGAAGGGATTGTGGCGTGGCTGCTCCCCTTGGGGGGTGATTTCTCGCTTTCTGTATCTCTCTCTCTCTCTGTCTGGCGAGCGCACGCACCCTATAGCAAAAACCTCTAAAAAAAAAAGATAATTTTAAGAAAGCCATATACCCCCCAAAGGACAAAAACAAACAAACAAACAAACAAACCCACAAAAATCACTGTGCATTTCATAATTTTGTGGGCAATAAAAGAAATATACAAAGGAAAAAAACGTCATCACACGGTGTTCTCTCCAGTAGTGCTAGACACTAAGTTCTATATGCCAGTATGCCTAGATTGAACAGTATCTATTAGGATTACATAGTTAACAGTGGTTTTAAAGAAAGCTTAGAATCTAACGATTTGTGATGATGATTATAGTGACAATGACTAAGTTTTTGAACACTTATCATATGCTAGGCACTATTGTAAATACATGTGATTTCGCGTAACAACATTGAGGTAAAATCTGTTTCCAACTTCCAGAGGAGACAAACATGTCATAGATACTAAGAAACTCGAGGCCAGCAGATTGTGTAATGGTTATGTTGCTATACTCCTATGTAGTTGACAGTAGTTCGAGTTCTGGACCCAGAGGCTTAAAACTAACTCCAGATATGTGTTTGTGCATACCCAAAATCTCGAGAGGAGAATGGAGAAGGGATTTTGGTGTGGCCATACCCCTGGGGAGTGATTTCTCTCTTCCTGTTTCTCTATCTCTGCCTCCCCAGCAAGTATACATGCCCTATAGCAAGAAAATCTCTCTCTAAAAAAAAAAGAAGCTCAGGTCCAGCAGATGGCGTGGTGGATAAGGGTGCTGGGCTCCCACATGGTCAACCAAAGTTCGAGTCAAGGACCCGGTAGCTTGCTTTCTCACTCTCTCTCTCTCTCCCTGCCCTTCTTTAGTCAAATTAAAGTTAAATTAAAAAAAAAATTCTTTAAAAAACTAAAAAATACAAACTCAATTTAGTCAAACTGTTAAGAAATGGCAGAGCCAGGGCCAGCAGGTAGCATGGTAGTTAAGGTGCTGGATTCCCATATGGCTGACTGCAGTTCACGTCCGGGGCCTCGCAGCTTGAAAACCACACTGGGTGCCTACAGTGTGTGCCCAAAATCTGGAGAGAAGAATGGAGAAAGGACTGCGGCATGGCCACCTCCCCTGGGGAGGGGGTGATTTCTCACTTTCCCTCTCTCTGTCTCTGTATTTCTCTCTAGGGCATGCACACATACTCTATGACAAAAAATAAATAAATAAAAAAGAAAGAAAGAAAGAAATGGCAGAGCCAGCACCTGAACCAGGTACAGAACTGAACCTAAAGAAGCACATAGTTAAGTAATAAAAGCAGCAGCATTACAAGTATGTTGGTGGTTTCTTAAGAAAGTGGAAAGAAGTTCAAGGCTAACAACATGAAACCGCATAAAAGGTCACTCTACGCAAACGTACGTGCACATGTACATAGTATTCTAATATTCTTTCTTCTGATTCATTAATATGAGAGCGTAAAAATAATTTAAGACCACAGAAATCAGTATGAACAATTTTCAAAGGCTAAACTAAGTAAATATTTATAGAATGCTGTGTTTTTTACCATAAAATAGCCTGGATTTTCCAGCCTAGCACTGTAATCAACAGAGACTGCAAAAGCGCAGCCACAACCCCAGAAGATTACCTTGAGGGAAGAAAAAGAGACTGATCTCTGCTAGCAGATGGCATACTAGAAAGTTGGGAAGGTTCATGTGGGAATTGTGTGCTGGATGTTTGCTTCTCAACATTCTGAGTAGCTGACATGGAAATATGTTCTCAAAAATATTTAAAATCACACTGTCTCTGTTGTTTGAGTCACAAACAAAATTATAACAAATATTTTGAAAGTTATCCTTAAAATTCAGGTTTTTGAAAGTCTGAAAGTTGTTTATTAATGGTCAAGAACTATGGAGTATGAGCAAAAAAAAAATTTTTTTTTTTTTTTTTTTTGGAGAGGCTTTTTGCTATAGGGCACGTGTGCTCACCAGAAAGACAGACAGACAGAAAGTGAGAAATCCCCCCCCAGGGGGATGGCGATGCCACAATTCCTTCTCCTCCATTCTCCTCTCAGGATCTTGGGCATGCATGCACATGTGCCCAGCGTGAGTTTAAGCCACCGGGTCCAGGACTCGAACCACTACATGGGAGTCCAGCGACGTAGCCATTATGCCAATTGTTGGTCCCAAGCAAAAACATTTTTTATATGTAAAGTAAATGTTTGTGGGAAAATGTAAAAACAAATAAAAACAAAAGAAATATTTTATTTAACTTTATTTATTTTAATCTGACCAGAGAGGGACAGAGTGAGAGAGAGAAAAAAAGTAAGAAAGCAATTCACCGAGTCCAGGGTTTGAACCCACAGTCGGCCATGTGGGAATCTAGTGGCCTTAACCACCAAACTACCAAGCCACCTGCCAGCCCTATCCTTTTTTTTTAAGAGGTTTTTGCTATAGGGTGCATGGGGTTCCAGGGAGACAGAAAGCGAGAAATCAATTCCCGGGGAGATGGCTATGCTTCAATCCTCCATTCTTTAGTCTCCTCCATTCTCGCTTTGGGCATACACACGCACCCAGTGTGAGTTTCAAGTCACTGGGTCTGGGACGCAAACCGCAGTTGACCATGTGGGAGTCTAGCACCTTGACCACTATGCCAACTGCTGGCCCATGATATGTCTTTTCTATACCCTAGATATGTATGCACACATAAACATGTACTTTCTGTAAAAGTAACTGCCTCTGAATGACAGACTCTTCTGGACAAATTCTTTAAGTTCTTGCTTTTTGTACTTATGTGAACTAATAACAATATACCATTTTTGGTAAAATGAACATGCATGTGGTTTTAATTAGTTTATTATCAACATTTGGTGGTTAAGGCAGCTGGATTCCTATAGCAAAAAAAAAAAAAAAGTTAATTCCCATGATCTGGGCTGTCTAAGGCTGGGGGTGGATATCATGTCGGGTATATGTGTCTTTCTCTCTCTCTCATGGAAGAAATAAATGAATAAACATTTGAAAAGTCTCTGCACGAACACCACAGTCTTCATGGGACACACATGCTGTGAATGATTTTAAAGAACCTCTTACTCTTAAACAAATTATACAATAAAACAGCCTCTAACACTGACACGTTTCTAAACTTTCCATTCTAGCCCAAATCACTAATACTTGAGAGCCAGAAACGTATTGACTCACTTGTTTAGTTTTGAATGCATCGTCAAATCAGGAAGTAGATTTCCCCTAACTGGTCTCATTTTCAGGGATAGCCCAGCTGTTCCACACATAGTTCCTCTTAGCGCTGGTCTAGCTGACCGTGTCTACGCTACTCCTAAAGCGATCTCCCGGCCCGGCCTCACTGACCCGCCACCCGCTCGCAGTCGGAGCCACGCGCGTGCATGAAACGCCCTCCGCGAGGATCCCCAACCGGAGCCTCTGGGCAAGTTCATCCATCGGGGGTGAGCTCTCGTGAGGACCCGGGGAGGAGGTCCTGGGTGCGTGCGGGCACACTTCCGAGCCAGAGAAGGGCGTCAGTTCCGAAAACCTCCGGGAAGACAGAACCCCCAACCAAGAACACGTCTCTCACCTGGGAGACGGCCATTCCAGACTCCTCCGTCTTCTCCAGGCTTCGTTCTCTGGGAAGATCTGTCGTCAGAAGTCAATCCTGTGCTGAAAATAGGCCGTCACCCCTTCCTGCGACACAGCCACGCACAGGGGACAAAGACCGTCCTCTGCTGCGCGCCGCGACAGGCGGGCTCGGCGACGCGGAGACCAACGGCGAGGGGAGCTGGCCGCCGCCCTCGCCTCGCCCCGCGCCGCACGAGCCCTGGCGGGCTGACTTCCCTCCGCGGCCCAGACCCCGCCGACCACTCCCCACGCAGAGGACCCTCACCGGTCCCTGGGCCACACAGGCGGAGGAGGGGAGGCCGGGGGAGGGTTTGAAGTCAGAAAACGACGCGCGGTCCCTACGGGACTGAAGGCAGAACGGCACGGGGAAGCCAGGCGCAAGGGGAGCGATCGTAATCGGAACCCGACTCGGACCCGGGACCCCGGCGGAGCTACCAGGTCTCGGAAGGCCTCAGGGCGACGTTGGCACTCAGAGTGGGCTGGAGAGAGGACGCGACGTTTGCAACCCTGGAGCCGCGGAGGTTTGAGACAATATCGGAAAATCATTCAGCGGAGCGCGCCCGTCCTTCACCGATTAATTTCCGGGCCTGCGGCAAACTGCGCACGCGCGGACCGG